TCAATCCCTCTGGAATCTTTAATCGATTGATCTAAATAAGTTTCCACTGTCCCTCTTTCCCTTGATCACAAGGTAGGGAAGAATTAGTCGACTTCAAAGTACCGGTTTAATTTATAAACATTTCCTAGCACACATCTTGACTCCCCTGGTTTTGTTCTCAATTGCTAGAGGAAAGATAGAGGGGAGAGAGTAAATTAGGGAGAGTGAGTGTTAATTCTTTATTTGAGGCAGTAAAGGAATGTGCAAATAGAAGTGGTAAAATGTCATTTAAGAAAGAAGACTGGATTTGAGGATTGATTTAAGGGCTGATGATATGAAGATAAAATATTTCTCATAGAGATTATATTTGAAACTCTAGAAGCAGATAAAGATTCTTAAAGGAGAGAAATGTAGGAAAAACAGTTACAGCTACAGAAAGAAACATAGATGGAGGCCCAAAGGATCAGGGTATTAGGAGACAAGTAAAGACATTTTCAAGACGTTCTTCAATAATATCAAGCAGCAGAATGTCAAGATCGAGAAGTTAAAAACTTGAAAATGACACATGAGGTGGCCATCAAGAGGGCACTTTCAGTGATGGTGGTAGAAAAGGGACTTTAGATAGTTTAAAATGAGACTAACTGTGAGAGAAATAAGGCTGTGAGTGCAGGCACTGGAGAAGGCCAGCTCTGAAGAGAAGGAAAGAAATTGGATGAAGTTAGCATAATAGAAGGTTCTGTTCTCTGGTGATGGTAACTTTTGAATATTTTGTGGCCATGTGTTAATTCTTCAAGACAACAGCTTGCTTTTTACTGATTTTAAACACTGATTCTGGAGGCAAATTTGAAGACTTCCCTCAATTCAAGGAATTTAGTAATAGTGTATGTGTTGTGTAATTGTATGATAATACATTATTGTTTATGACTGTATATTGAATGCATTGTATATGACTGAATTATTGAAGGGCTGTATCAAAGGTGATATTTTTGTTACTCTTATCTGCAGTGATAACTTCATCTTGACCTTTATTTCCTTCTTATGGTTCTGTGACAGCTAGAGTATATTCTTACCCTTTGCTACTTATTGCCTAAAAACAATACTAACAGTAACAACAAACATAGAAAAGACATTCTAATATTTTTGACACAAAGCCCTCAGCATTGTGAGGATGAAAACAATAAACGAACAAGCTATTTTGACTCTCTATTCTAGAGCTTTCCTACTTAAGTTCTAATTTTTATGATCTGTTTTTATAATTGTAGAATAAAATATTTTCTTCAGTGTCACACTGAAGTAAATAGAGATCAGATAATTAACAAGGTCACATCATGCATAACCTAATTTTCATTTCCATTCTTAATAAGAATGATGAAAGGCTTTTACCTCAGCTTTGTTGAAGTACACAGATTTATTTTTTATTCTACCACATTGAGAATTTGTTTCTTAAATGGTGTTCCTATTAATGGTATTGTCAAAGTGCTCAGACTTTAAACTGTTATTTTCAAAAATTAAGATTCTTCATTTGATATCATACTATACATGTTTTCTAAAAATTTACCTAGTAATCTTTAATTTCTTTAACCTCTGGATGCCTATCTTTATTTAAACTCATTTATGCTATTCATTATACTTACAGTTCTAATTCTAATGCTTTTTCATTTCACAAGGACAGTTCTACTTCCAATAACTTCAACTTGTTATTTCCCTTTACCTGACTTCAGCATTTATAGTAACACCTAATTTTGTAAAATAATCTAGAAATGTCCCATTTTTATCAGTGATTTTTTTCAGGTAACATTTGTCACTGTGAAATTTATAAAATGTATTTAGACAGTTTTTAAAGATTCTTAAAGATTCCTCTCTTCTATTCTATTTATATTTATCATTCTCATAGGTGTTTTTTATGCTTTTATTATAAAGATTGAGCCATATAAAGTTGCTATTTTTATATATTAAAAAATGCCCAAGTATTAGCTATTTCAAATAGTTCAGCCTACTATATATCATTAAATAACATAATTATGCTATTATCTTCATGTTGTTAAATTTTACATGTTGTTATTTACATGTTGTTAAATAAATTTGAGAATTAATTATTTTGAGGTCTGGTTCATTCACTTTAGTTGCTCTATTAATATTCCATTTTATTAATAAAAGCACTAGGTTTATTTCTTCCCAAGCTGAGAGGTTGTTTTCTCTTTTTATAATTTATGCAATTCTCTAGTTAGCATATTAGAAGTATCTTCTTGTACACTTTTATTTTATTTCTTCCTTTCCAGTCTGGAAACCTCTTTTTTCTCTTGGTTTTCAGCAGCTTGGTATTGGTATATCTAGGTATGGATTTCATTGAATTTATCCCTCACGGAGTTCATTGAGCTGCTTGGATGTGTACATTAAAGGTGTTCATAAAATTTGGGGAGGTTTAAGTGATTGCTTTTAAAAATTGCTTGTTTCTCTGTCTCTTCTGGGATTTCCTTTATGTTTATATTGGTACAATTGATGGTGTGCCACAGGTCTCTGAGAATCTGTTCATTTTTCTGCATTCCCTTTCTTTCTATTCCTCAGACTAGATAATTTCAGTTGACATATCTTCAAGTACACCGATTCTTTCTTCTGCCTGTTTATCTGTGTTATTGAGCTCCTCTAATCCATTTTTCATTTTTATAATTTCTGTCCCTTTAGTTATATTCTCTATTTGCTGAGGCATCATTCTCATTCTCTGCTTTAGTTCTTTAGGTATGGTTTCCTTTAGTTCTTTGAACATATGTAAAATAATTGATTTAGGATGTTCATCTAAGAAGTTTAATGTAAGAGTATATATTTGGTCCAGTTTCTATGGCTGCTCCCCCTGTACTCCCAGGTGTATCCACCATACTTTCTTGTTTCACAGTGTATCACAATTTTTGGTTGAAAACTGGACATTTAAAATAATTTAGTGTAGCAAATCTGGAAATCAATTTTCTCACATAACTAATTTTGCTGTGGATGTACTTATTGTGATGTGAATGTACTGATTCTTTCCAGTCATTACCTCTTTTCTGAATAGACAGCTATGAGGTCTTTCAGGTATGAGTCATGTCTATTTCTGTGGTTAATTCATATAAATTAGACCTATCTTTGCCATATGAAATTTTTTCAAACAATAATCTCTTTATGAAACATTTATCCCAATTAATATCTGTTGCTAAAAAATTGGCAACTAGCAAAGGTATGAATAAAATCCATTCTTATCACTGTGTCCTTGAAATATTTTATGATCCTCTTCCCAAAATCAAAATCGGAGTTCTCTTCTTGGGAATGGATGGTTCACATTAACTCTAGGTCTTTAGAGAAATTTTTCTAAAATTTTTTGGGGAAACTCCCTCAAATATAAATTCTGTAATAGAGGATATGATTATTCTATGTTCAGACTCCAAAATTTAGAACTAAAGTTGTTTTTAAAGGTTACAATATCCAGCCCTTTTAGTTTATAAATGATAAAGTAGATTTCATTACCCCTTTGTTACAGTGCTTTCCTTTAACTTTTATTAGAATATAGGAAGTGAATTCTATTTTATCAGCATTGAAAGATAGCCCTCCACTTCTACACCCTGGTCTGACTACCCTCATCTTTCACTTGAATGGTTATAATAGCCTAACTGGTCTCACAGCTTCTACCCTTGTTCTCTTTCATTTTATTCTTAACACGTTTGAATATACCTGAGATCATATCATTCTTCTACTCTAAACCCTCCAGTAACTTCCTATTTCACTCAGAATAAAAACCAAAGTTCTTATAATAGGCTACAAGGCTTTTAACAATTTGAACCTTATGCCCCCCACCCACCAGCCAGTTACTTGTCAGATCTGATATTCCAGTAGCCTCCCCTCCTTTACGCTGCTCAGGTTGCTGGCTCCTTGCAGTTCCTCTAACAAGACAAGCATATTGCCTCAGGGTCCTTGCACCCACTGACTCCTGTCAGAAATATTTTGCCCCTACAAATATACATAGTTCATTCCCTTTTCCCTGTCAATACCACATTTGCAATAAGGCCTCTGTTGACACACCATCCAAATTAAAATTTGGCCATGTTCTCCAAACTGCTCTAATTTTTCCATTTTGCATAGCATTTATCATATTCTAATATAGTGTATAAATTGTACATTTATTATGTCCATCTAGTTGCTGGGATGCAAGCCCCATAAAAACAAATGTTTGTTTGCCTGGGGTTTTTTGTGTGCCTGTTTTGTTGACTAATGTATCCCTGGAACCTGTAAAAGTGCCTAACACATGATAGGCTGCCAATAAATACTGTTAAATGAATGAATGTATAGACCAATACACCCACCTTGACAATTAAAAGCTATGATTCAGGCTTTCACAAAAATCACAGCATCATTTTTGCTCTTTTGCTGTTATGTTAGATCTTTAAGAATCCGAAGTGATTATTCTTTATTTTTTAGAACTTTTCTGGGTCCTTTGAAGTAAAGCATAGGGGAATTGTAGATTCAGTGTGTAGAGCTGGAGCATCAGGGATGAAGGGTGCGAGGAGGAGGGCTGGGTGTGGGTGGGGTTAGGTGAAAGCGAAGGAATAAACAGGAGACAGGTCCAGGCCCATTCCTTGTAGGCAGACAACACTACCTTTTAACTCAGAAAGAAAATTCATACCTTCCCTGTTTGTCCTCCCAACTCCCTAAACAAAAGCACATAATGACTTAACTAGAGGGAAGTTTGATGAACTAAGAGAAAATAAGAAAAACACTTGATTTGGGGAGGTGACTTCTGGAGAGATACCACAGATTGGGTCAATAAATAAACTGATTAAAGGATTCACTTTGACTTCAGTCCTGCCATGTCTGTGGAGATAACCATGATTATGATTGTTACAAAGTGGAATTCGCAAAATATGTACTAGTCTGTAAGAATTTGAGAGAACTATAATATAAACATGATGAAAAGTATGATAACTTTAAAGGAATTTCATTTGAATATATGCTTGGTAAACCGAGATTTGCATTATAAATATACATGTATTTTTCAGGTTTAGAGCAATTTGTTGGGAGAATGCAAGATTTTAGATTATACCAAGTGGCACTTACAAACAGGTAAGCAGATGTGGTACTGTAAAGCTCAAGAAGGGTACAGATAAATGCTGAATTCACTTACATAAGAGGAGCATAAAGATTATAGCATTTTTCATTTTTACAGCATTTAGCAAACATCACCTGATTAATGTTTATGGTGTTTGCCTTGGCTTAGCCTGTGGCTGGATTGGGTAAGTCCTTTTAATGTGAAATTGATCAAACTCTTTACAAAGGATTTCCTGTAAATAAACTAGATTTTTGAACAAATTGTATTGCAGAATTTGGGATATATTTGTTTAAATGTTCTATGTGAAGTATTTCTCAATACTTAAGAAACTGCAAATCTGCCTTTTCAAATTGATTTGTTGACTTTATATATCCTAGAAAATGAGGAACAATGAAACTGATTAATTATTTTGCTATATGGGAAAAACTCTCAAGAGACTGAGCTATTAGACTTGAACATAAGAAGAATGAGTCACTTGAAGTATTGTTATAAATTGGTCTATTTCTAGTGAACGAATAATAATATAGACAGACTAGCTTGAATGAAGTGTTTCTTATCTTGAGAATAAGTGGAGAAATATTTCTTAGGGGTTCTTAAAGGCATATAGATTTCCCTTCTGTTCAAGAAAGGTCAAAGTGAAATTTTGCCTAAGATAGTCTTTGAAGTATCCTTACCAAGTTATGATTTGATGATGTAATAGTATATTGTTATATGGATGAACTGATCTTACTTCTATGAAAAATCAAAATGAAGGATTTGTATTCTTATTTTTTTCCAGGGAGATGTAGATTAGTGTGGTAAGTTTCCAAATTTGAGAATTGTGGTAAATTTGAGAAGCTCTGCTCTTGAGGTTCTACTATGGTCAATGCTGTGTCCATTAGCAATATAATAAACATTCTCTATTTGGCTATATAATCAAGAGATGCCTGAATAAAGGGCGCTATAGCAATGGAACACATTACTGCGGACATTTACTACCCACCGGCCTCACTATCTTTTAAATCACTTTCATCTAAAATTCTAAAGAGCAGTATTGCAGTAACTTTTGGGGAATAAAATTTTTTCTGGTGGTGGTGGGGCAAAGCTTTCACTAGACAGTCACTTTAGGTCCCATTCAAAACCTGATATCAATCACAAAATATTCATGAGGTTTTAAGAAGATGGTGTGATTTCATGTGATTTAGTGAATGGAAAGGCAGCCCTGCTCTTCCATTGCCCCACTGAGGTCTGAGAGAAGCCTGGTCTTTCTGCTTAGACCTGGGTTACTGGTGTTGGCTACCAGGAATGCTGGAACGATGTTATGTGAAAGAATGCCTATAAATAGACTGACTAATTTTGATCTAGAAAAGGTATATTGCCCTTAATGGAAAAATTAAATATTTCTGCCTGGAATTGGCATTCTTTGTCTGTTGGCAGCTGCCACATGAATCTGAAGCCATTGAATCTGTACTGATGAGTCACAGGGCACCATTGACAAATGGTCTTGGCTTCAGTCCCTTAACCTAAAACAGCAGCAGATAAAATGATACTTGTTTTCGTATTTCTTTCCCATGGATGTACTGGAGACCCCATCTATAACTCTCATTATTTTCAATTATGTTCACTCTCAGTTGCAAATCAGTTTAGCAACATAAGTGAATGTCACCTTTCTTTGTATTATAAATAAGCATGGTAAAACACTATGATGTTTAAATAAGTATCTCAGTAATTGGACAAGGGTTTGCACATGCTCCTCAATGTAAAAAGTGAACACTTAAGCATTTACTGTTTTTGATATCCAATTTATTAAAATAGTTTATTTAGGATTGAGTTTGATTTTATGTTATATTTAGGAAATTATTACAACTATACATAGATAGCAATCAAGACATTAAAATAATAATATTTATTTTTATTGACTCTTGGAAGTTCTATTGCTGTTGAGCTGTTTGTCCTTACAATCTGCCTCTGACTCCCACAGAGAGATTCTGGAAGTTTTTTCTGGTGATCTGCTCAGACTGCATATCCAGGCACATTGCCGCTGTCCCGGAAGCCACCCTCGGGTCCACCCCTTGGCACAGCGGTTCTGCATTCCTAATGATGCAGAAGACACAACCAATAATAGGGTGTTACGGCTGAATCCTGACGCCCATCCTCTTTCCTTTATCAATGATAATGATGTTGGTACTTCGTGGATCTCACATGTGTTTACAAATGTTACCCAGCTTAATCAAGGAGTGACTATTTCCATAGATCTGGAAAATGGACAATATCAGGTAATTTGAAATAATGAGGGGTGTATTAGTTTCCTGTGGCTGCCACAACAATATGCCACAAACTTAATGGTAACAAAACAAATTAATTTTCTCAGAATGAAATGAAGGTGTAGGCAAGGCTACTGGCGCTGCACAGGCTCTAGGGGAGATAGCTCCCTGCCTGTTCCAAGTTCTGCCGGCTCCTGGGGTCACTTGGTTTACAGCAGCGTAGCTCCCATCTCTGCCTTCTCATATGGCCCTCTTCCTTGTTTCCCTCTGTGGCAATCCTTCCTCCTCTTTCTCTCATGAGGACCACCGTACATCCAGAATGATCTTAGCTAAAGATCTCTAATTTAATTATATCTGCAAAGACCCTATTTCCAAATAAGGTCATATTCACAGGTACTAGGATTTTTTGCTTGAACATATCTATGTGGGGACACAATCCTTCACTAAAGTAACGTATTATAAATGTATGAAATAAAAATATCTTGAAGATAACATGGATCATTTTTTAGATATTTGTATGAAAATCATATGAAGTATTGAAACTATTTTATTAAGTAGCACAAATTAATGAAAACAGGTACTTATTCTAAGTAACTAGTTAAGAAAAACATATATTCGAATTATTTCATGGAAGTAATATATTTTTCCATGTCTTTATATCAAACTTATTATCAATTTTCACTTTATAAAATCCTTAACAAGGGATCGATATGCAATTACAGAATGCGTTGTTTTTATTATACGGCTATAAGTTGTTGGGTATCCAATAAATATTTGATAATTATTATTATGGCAAAGTAAGGTAGTCATTGGAATCTAACAATTCTGTGGTGTGATTTACACTGTGTCAAACTTAAAACTTCAATGACAATGACTAACTTATCCATTTTCAGATATTTTATATTATCATTCAGTTCTTTAGTCCACAACCAACAGCAATAAGGATTCAAAGGAAGAAGGAGGGCCGCTTAGATTGGGAGGACTGGCAATATTTTGCTAGAAATTGCAGTACTTTTGGAATGAAAAACAATGGCCACTTGGAAAATCCTGATTCTGTCAACTGTCTTCAGCTTTCCAAGTATGAATATTTTAAATATCTTTGAAGGCATTTAGGGGTTAATTTTAATAGGTTAATGAGCTAATGATAACCAACAGGTAAGCTAACTCACTTCCTCCACCACCAACTTTCTTGAAGCAAACTCTTCTAAGAGTCTTCCCTAAATTAAGCTTTAAACTACTTTTAAAGTTACCATAAAAGACTTTAGAGTATCTCTAGTTTACAGCCTCTTTTGTGCCTTGTAATCTGATTATCAGATTGTTTAGCAAGTTGCTTTATTAATAGAATCTCATTATGTCATCGGAAAATGTTTTACTACATTTTTCTGTGATCCTGTATTATTTGCATATGAAATATATGGTATATGTTTGTTTTCCCAGAATGAAGAATTTGAGCTGTTACTAATACTTTGTAGGAACATCTTAAGGTTGTGATTTTTTTTGTCAAAAACAGGATGAACAGCTTTTCATGATTTCAAATTTCTCTCATCAACAGTTTCACTCCATATTCCCGTGGTAATGTCACATTTAGCATCCTAAAACCAGGTCCAAATCATCGTCCCAGATACAATGACTTCTATAATACCCCATCTCTTCAAGAATTTGTAAAAGCCACGCAAGTAAGACTTCATTTCCACAGACAGTACTATACAACTGAGACTCCTGTCAGCTCCGGGCACAGATACTATGCAGTTGGTGAAATCACCGTCAGTGGAAGGTAGTTGTTCATTTACCAAGATCTCAACTGCTGTGTTTTCAACCAGATTTTTGTCATACTTATAAAAAAAAATTAAGAATTTGCAGCAATCCTGATTCCAGGCTTTATGTATTGAAGTATTTTCCTATCCTAAGATTTTTAGGGGAGATATATAGGCAAATCTTTTCTGTATATAATATCACATTGTTGTGGAATCAATTTACAAAAACTACTGAGTTTAGAAGTTATGATGTCTGACTTAGAAATAATTTACCAAATGTTTTGCTTGGCTTGGTCTGGAATATAATTTTCAAGTAATCTTGAAATCAAAGAGAAGGAACTAGATTTGGAGTCACAACTATAGAACTAGATTCATCATTTTATGGGGAGTATTTGGTTTCTCTTAGAGGAAAAGCTAATATGCCTTAAGTAATTTATAAATATCTGACCCTAATTGAGAACAAGGTTCACGATATTTAAAAATATGGATAGCTGAAGAACTTCCAGGGAGCATACCCTCTAATATGGAAGCGGTACATATATAGACGTGATGTAGCGTCAGGTTGTGCTAGGAGGATGATATATCCTGTAAAGAGGTACATCATTAAAAACAGACCAGAATGTCCATCTAAAAGTGTTATTTGTTAAGTAAAAGCCTCATGAAAAAAATATACTCTTAAATATTCACCATCTAATTTGGGAAAAATAAACAAAAATACTTGAAATGTGTTAATTTCATTCTGTAGTTTATTCTCAACTTTATAATCTTAACCGTGTTTTGAATAGTTGTAGTAAATGCCTTCTCTTGGCAACTTTGCCTCATGGCTGATATAAAAAATAAAACCTGTCCCTTTTCCTGCTAGGCTTGAAAATTACTTCACAGCACAATTGTGGTTTGGATATTGATGGTAATGATACCCTTCCAATATTTCAAGATTAACTAAAAATGTAAATACCCACTTGATAAAAGAGAAATGCCTTTTTGGGTTAACATACTCATCTTCCTTATTGGATCCACACGGTAGATATAGTCAGAGGCCCTTAAATATATGCACAGTTGGGTTGACTTAGGAGCTGTCCAATGCTCACGTCCACAGATGTCAGTGCTACGGCCATGCGCTTAGCTGTGACTCAGCAAGTCAGCCTTACCGATGCCTCTGCTCCCAGGAAAGCTTCACTGACGGCCTTCATGTGAGTTTGCTCTCTGTTTGACTCATGGAAATCTCTCGAAAAGCTGGGGGGTGGGGGGAGTCGGAGGGGGCTGGGTAGTGAATATAAATTCTTTGAAGTTAATTCTGTCTCTAAAAATAAATCGATGTGAACCGAAAATGTCAGTTATTTCAAAAAAAAAATTCACAGGACAAAAAAAGCCAAGAATAATGTTGAAAATTCTTATTTTTTTTATTTTGTTATAATTAATCTACAATTACATGAAGAACATTATGTTTGCTAGGCTCTCCCCTACCCCAAGTCACCCCCACAAACCCCATTAGAGTCACTGTCCATCAGCGTAGTAAGATGTTGTAGAATCAATACTTGTCTTCTCTGTGTTGCACAGCCCTCCCCTCTCCCCCCGCCCCCACATTATACATGCTAATCATAATACCCCCTTTCTTTCCCCCCCCATCCCTCCCTACCCTCCCATTCTCCCCAGTCTATTTCCCTTTGGTAACTGTTAGTCCATTCTTGGGTTCTGTGATTCTGCTGCTGTTTTGTTCCTTCAGTTTTTCCTTTGTTCTTATACTCCACAGATGAGTGAAATCATTTGGTACTTGTCTTTCTCTGCCTGGCTTATTTCACTGAGCATAATACCCTCTAGCTCCATCCATGTTGTTGCAAATTGTAGGATTTGCTTTCTTCTTATGGCTGAAAATATTTCATTGTGTATATGTACCACATCTCCTTTATCCATTCATTTACTAATGGACACTTAGGTTGCTTCCATTTCTTGGCTATTGTAAATAGTGCTGTGATAAACATAGGGGTGCATCTGCCTTTTTCAAACTGCAAGAGTGATGCATTCTTAGGGTAAATTCCCAGAAGCTGAATTCCTGTGTCAAATGCTAAGTCTTTTTTGGGCATTTTGAGGAACCTCCATACTGCTTTTCATAATGGTTGAACTAATTTACATTCCCACCAGCAGTGTAGGAGGGTTCCCCTTTCTCCACAACCTTGCCAACATTTGTTGTTGTTTGTCTTTTGGATGTTAGCCATCCTTACTGGTGTGAGGTGGTATCGCATTGTGGTTTTAATTTGCATTTCTCTGATAACTAGTGATGTGGAGCATCTTTTCATGTGTCTGTTGGCCATCTGAATTTCTTCTTTGGAGAGCTGTCTGTTCAGCTCCTCTGCCCATTTTTTAATTGGATTATTTGCTTTTTGTTTGTTGAGGTGCATGAGCTCTTTATATATTTTGGATGTTAAGCCTTTATCGGATCTGTCATTTACGAATCTATTCTCCCATATTGTAGGGTACCTTTTTGTTCTATTGATGGTGTCCTTTGCTGTATAGAAGCTTTTCAGCTTGATATAGTCCCACTTGTT